TTTGGCCTATGGACTGTAGTTTGCTGATCCCTGGTCTAGGATGCCAGTACCTTTGAGCTTTACCCTCTTCTAATAGGAATCCATCACTTGAAGATCAAGCTTGTGACCGAATTTACCGAGTAGGACAGCAGAAAGATGTTGTCATACACAGGTAAGTAAAGGTCTCCCAAGACCCAGGACCCTTCCCAGCTTCTGCTTTCAGGAAATCCTTTCTTGGGTAGTGTTTTAATAGAATGTAAAATATTTGGTGATCACTTTTCTAATGATGCTCCTGAGGCATACTCTCCTTGGTCACAGGATGGAAATGAAAGCAATTTGGGAGTAACTTTAGAGTTGGTCTTTTCAAATGAAGAACAAGGTCATATATAATAGTGAGCTGTATCGTAGTCAAAGTAGCTTGAAAGAAGCCATTCTTCAAAGTAGCTTAAAGAAGACATTCTCTTAGATAACTGCAGAAATATTATCAAAATCAGGATGTTAATATAGGTATGATACTGTTACCTGATCTATAGACCTTATTGAGATTTTGCCAATTGTCCCAATGATGTCCTTCATAGCAAGAGAAAATTCCAGATCCTTTGTAGTGTTCTGTTGTCATGACTTTTTAGTTTCCTTTAATCTGGAACAGTCCCTCTGTTTTTCCTTTTGTTTTATGATACTGATATTTTTGAAGAGTACAGGCTAGTTATTCTGTAGAATGTCCTTCTATTTAGGACTTTCCTGTCTTCAAAAACAGTAAAACCTGCCTTAATGCTATAATTGACTCTAACTATGGCCCTGTTTTTCTCCTTCCTTTTCATGGCCAAGTTTCCTAAAGAGTTAGAAATCACTGTCTTTACTTGCTTACCTCCCATTCTTTCCTCAACCTCTGCAAACTGGCTTTTGCTCCTGTTGCTGTACCGAAATTGCTGTTGTTAAGGGACACCAGCAACTTCCAAAATTTGCCAAGTACAGTGATTATGTTAGTTTTCCTCTGTCTTTAGCCCTCTTCCCAGCTTACTCTGTATGACCCTCCGTTAATAATCCTGTTCACTCCAGTAAGTCCAAAATCTGTATCTCAGTTTCAAGGTCTCCTGAACTGCAGACCAAGATCTCTGTATCCCTGCAAGACATCTGAATCTGAGTGTCCACATATTCACTCACTGTTCATTCATCCGTTCAGCTCATTCAGCAGATACCTACTGAGCACCCACTATGTAGTCCTAGTCTGTGCTTCAGGAACTCAGTGTCACAAATAAATTTGTTTTTCATCACCTCAAATCTGTTTTCTTTGTGTTTATGATTAGTATCACTGTTCATCTAATCACATAGCCAGAAACTAGACTCCTCCCTCTTTCTCAGCTTCCACATACCAAGACCTTTAGTTTTATTTTCTAAATGTCTCTCATAACCATTCCTTCTTTTCCATCCCCATTGCCACTTAAGTACTTGTTGTTTCACACCTTATCTCTTTAGGTAACTAAGCTTCCTCTTCACTGACTCCTGTCCTTCTCTGCATCACCACCAGAGGGCTCTTTCTCACTAATAAATCCATCATCCCATTCCTCAGATTTCTCGGTGCTCACTTCCTATAG